CCGTTAAAAGTAGACAAACAGAGGCGGGGGAAGGGGATGTGTCCCAAAGAGGGATGAGCCGCATAAACTGCTAATTTGTGTCCTCTTGACAAAGCCTTTTTTTTTTTTTTTTTTTTTTTATAAATATCATTTTTTTTTTTTCGTGCCTTTTTTTTTATATATATATAATTTTTGTGTGTTGAAGAGGAAAGGCATCGCGAAAATGCTTCCCGAGCGGGTTTTTCCCCCCATCGAGATTGCTCCAAATTTGCATTGACACACTGGGGAGTAGGTTGGATCGCCAGCACAAGCGGATAACACCTTCGAAGCGCATCACAGGCGCGAAATAATTCTCAGCCGCTCAACATATTGTCGATGAGCACATCGTCGATCGAATTTCCCTCTGCTTTCACATCACACTTACATGTGAGGGGGGCCAGGACGAGAGGGGCATACGTGCAGGAGTACTTCAAATAATTTGTATAGAGGGGGTACACTACACTTGCTCCTCTCCCTCACGGCACAGTTTTTTACACGTCCACTCACAGGTCAACAAAAAAAGAAAAAAGAAAAAAAAAAAAAAAAAAAAAATACACAGGGGACCTACAAGGAAACCATACACCAGACATTTTAATCACTCTCCGTACCCCTCACAACACTGCTCGAACGAGAAATGATCAAGTCCAATGTTGTACCAATCCTATAACGTCGCGTCCGCTCGACAAAGGAAAAGAAGAAAAAATTTAAATTTAAAATAAATTTCATGGTCAACGAAAAATCTCAAATCATCACAAACGCCATCACGAACGCGGACGCCATCGCCAACGCGCGCAGGTGTCCCACTTGTCCCCCAACCAGCTAAGAAGGTCCAGAGCAAAGTGCTTTTAAAGCGCTACCGTTGCTGATACCCCTGCTCGTATCACCAAGCGGGCAGTTACCCACCGGGTAGTTACCCACCGAGCAGTTACCCACCGGGTAGTTACCCACCGGGTAGTTACCCACCGAGCAGTTACCCACCGGGTAGTTACCCACCGAGCAGTTACCCACCGGGGCAAGTACCCAGCGAGGCACAAACAAACGATCGAACATGAACGTCGCTGTGGTTGGCATCCGACACACACTTTGAAGAAGGACAAAACGGGGGGAGACAAGTGGGCTGATCATCACAGATTGGTGAAATTAGCCAACCAGATGTTCAGCAGGGGTTCTTCTAAGGGGTCACCACCGTTTTGAACATAACCCACAAAAGGGGTACGCAGAAAAATACCCTCACCCCAAATTGTTTATAAGGCATTAAAAAAAAAAAAAAAAAAAAGGACAAAACGAATCTGTACCACGGGCTTGCTCGTGAGTATGGACCCCCACACACGCAAATATACACGTTAAAAAAGTGTTTGTATATACACAGCAAGTTATAATGACTAGCGTGAGTGGGAAAAATTCAGAACCCGATACAAGCCACATGGGTACGTCCTGCCCCTCCTCTAAAGATGGGATCAATGAGAACAGCGACACACAACCAGAGGAGGAGAGGACTCAAAGGAACTTAAGCAAGCAACATAAGAATGGCACACATGCATTTGTCACCAGTAATACTTCAAAAGGCAAGAGTAACGTAACGATGGTCCATGAGGAGAGGACACAAACATACACACCGTTCGAAGTACAACGGGCATTTAAAAGTGATACCAGTCTGAAGGCAGAACAGCCATCCAGTGAAACCCACGCAAAGGGAACAAGTCTCACCGGCGCAAGTGACAAAAGGAAGAGTCAACACTCTACTAGCAAAGTGACCTCCCCAACCTGCTCCGCGAAAACATACAAAGAAAGGGTCACCGGTAAAGTAGAGCAGGTCAACGAAGCTGCAGTAATTGAAGCCAGGGCCAAGAAGGACGTGACCGAAATGGAAACACCCCAGTTGGGACGCCAACCAAGTGATTCTCAAAATTTGCCGAGCGAAAAAAAAAAAAAAAGGAAGAAAAAGAAAAAAAGAAAAGGAACCACCATTCATGGGGTTATGAATGACGACGCGAACGACAGAACGAAGGAACCAGCCAAAGGAGAAAGCAGCCTCCAGTACGAGTCCTGGCACGAGATGGGCGACCCGGAAGGGGAGGATCCGCCCAGCAGGAAGATGCAACCCAGCGGAAGTGACTCAGTCGTGGAGGACACACAAACGGGAAAGAGCCGAACAAATGAGGACACCGAATCTAATGCGAACGAAAACAGGATGAACCCACAAGACGGCTGGCCCAAGAAAAAAATAACCCTCCTTAAGAGGAACGAAATGAAGTATGAAAAATACACAGGGGGAGGAAATTACCCCATAGGAACTGCCCCTAGTGGAGGAAAAAAGTGGCACCAAGACACATCCCAGAAGACACTCGAGCAAAGAGAAAAAGAATATAAAAAAATACGAGCCAGAATTTTTTCCAATTTTAATAAAAAGAAAAATAACTTAAAGGTCCCTGATGACTGCATGTTCAAAGACGGTTCTAACGGTGTGCACGATCTTCCCCCAGTTAACCATTTTGCCATGCCGGTTGGAAGTCCTTACGGTGCACCCATGAACAGTACTTACGACACAACCCTTAACAACATCTACGCGTGCGCGATGACTGGAGCCTATGCCCCGGCGAATACCAACCCGTATGGTACCAACTTCTGTAACCTCCCCCCTAGTAACCATGACAATCACCTGTACACACATAACACTATGCATATAGGCCGGATGAACGCAACAAACGATGTGCCTCCGCCACCCCCGACCTTCTACCCAAGCGGACAAACAGTGTACACAAATTACATGTACGATATGCAAAACCAATCAAGCTTTCCCAACACAGGTGCGTCCTTCCCCTTTCCCATGGAAGCAAGTGCCAACTGTTACCCGCACTACAAGAATGTTAATTACCTACCCGGAAGGAGGAATATTTCAAATCGGGGCAAAACACAAATGGTAGATAGTGGCACCAAGGGAGACGTAAGTAAAGATACGCTAATAGGTATAAACCAGTATGAAATAAACAGTGGTGGTTATAACAGTGGGGCGTACGTCGAAGGAGGAGTGTACCCCACAGGTACATATAACAACAATGTGCATAACAATGGTATGTATGCTTGCGGGGTGCAAAGTGGAATCCCCCCCACTGATCCCATGCAAGGCACTGCACTGATGAATCTCCCACAACAGAACAGCCTCGCAAACATCACGCACGTAGATGCGATTAGCCAAATGACCAACCAAGGTAAACTCCTCAACACAGTTAGGACAACCTTCAAAGGAAAACACTTTACATCTTTAACTAACAGATTGAATCAAGACGTTTGTAAAAAAAATAAATCAGCAATGGACAAACAGATCAACAGTGGCTCCAGGAAGAAAGCAGCAAATGGAATACATAACAATAGCATAGCTTCTGAAGTGCCTAGCCAAATGGACTTCTGTCATGGGGGGATGGAAAATGTACACAGCTCTGCTGGTGCTACGGTCACTGGGGTGGGAGGCACCTCTCGGAGGAAGAAAAAGGACGACAATGCCAGGGGTGTTTCCAGTACCGCTGTACCTACAAATGCATGCACAATGACAAGCAACAACTTGGTGAACACCACCCCATTGAACTTCCACACCAATGATGGGCACCGCTGGGAACATACAAACAAAAAGACTAGCGATATAGAAAGTGCGAAGGGAAAGCGAATACAAGCAAGCTCTCCCCTGGTTAACGCCAAGGGAGAGACCCACATCAACAAGCAGCAACCCCATTGCACTACTCAATCGGAGGGCACCGCCGAGGAACAATTCCCACATCACACAAATGAAGAAGGCGCTCTGGGTGCAAGAAGTGATTCAAAGAAAAACAAAAAAAAAACATGCTCTCTTCAGGTGAATATACCAAATGAAGGGCAAGAAAGAAAGACCTCCCAGTGGAAGGGAGAGGAACTACCCTCTCCACCACTCCACCACAATGATTCACAACCCGCAAGGGAGAACCCCTTAGCAGGTGCGCTCACCAGCACGAACGACAATAAAGGTACTACACATACCAATGCAAGCTGCTCAAATGGGGGAGATAAGAATAGGCCACTGCCAAACCTAGACGACATGACCAATAACACGGACGTGAAGGGGAAAAAGAAAAGGAATAACAAAAGGAAGAAAAAGAAAAATGCGCAATGTGGTGTGACAACGGGGACGGTTACCTCTATGGGGTCATCCATGGGGCCACCCATCACCACCGTGACCACCACTGCGATGACGCCGCCCTCGGTGAACCCTCATGCAGCCAACGCCATCCCCCTTGGCAGCCCCAACGGACCAATACCAAGTACCCCTTACCTACAAAGCCAAAGCATACCCCCCGGAAGAACGAACCACCCAGTGCACAAGTATAGCGACCCCCTCTTTGGCATTGACGAGCTAGAGTACTGCAGGGACATAACCCTATACGAAAGGAGATATGATAAGGGCAACAACACGTTAGAAAATAGTAAGAGGTACGATGTGGATTTCCCTTCTTTGTATTGAAGCAACAGAGAGAGGTACCATCACCACCCCCTAAACAACAGGGAGCGTGGAGAGTACAACTCCTCTTTATACACAAGTGTGAGAGCAATCCCAATTTTTTGTTTATTTTTAATTTTTTCACACCTACGTGTGTAGAGGCCTGGGGCACACGTACGTATGAACAGTAAAATATGTGTGAATACTCTCATATCGTCTTGTTTCTTGCATGGGGGAGGTAAAGGGAATTAGAAGCAGGGGGTGAGGTTACATTACATTCACTTTTAGCGTCTCACCCTATAACATCCCTTCCCATCACTTATGATCAGTTGTTCACGCACGCATGCCGGTGTGCATGCCTGCACATGGGCATATATGTACAATTACGATTATGCCCTCTCCTCATGTGGGTACCTTTTTCACCCCGACGTTGTGCATTGCGCGACGCCCGCATGTTTTCCTTTTTTTTTTTTTTTTTTTTGTGTATATATAATAACCCATTTGAAAAAAAAACGCAAAAAGAATTGCAAAAAAAATGGTGACTCATATAGGGGACACGCAAAATAGAGCAGGGGGGCAGGGGAAACAGTCCAGGACGACTAGACAATGCCCACACAGCATATCACTCATGTAGGGAAGAAATGAAAAGTGGTGACTGTCATGAACTGATACGCAGGTTAAAGCTTGTCCCCAGAGAACCCTTTTTCAGCGCCATTCCCTATCGCCTACCATTGTCCCACGAAGAAAAAAAAGGGAAAAAGTCGCCCCCACACCGACTTCCCACCTCAGTTGTTACCACCCCGATTTCCATTCTGCCACTCCACATCCCCCCCTAGGCTGTAGTAAGGGTTTAAATAAAATCTTTTCTTCAGGCCAAAGTGGATGTACAGGAAGGACAACAGAAAGGTAATCGAGACAAGCAACAATGTTACGAATTGGACGTAGATAACTGCGAAGGGGGGTGATGAAGGGAAAGGAAAAGAAGCATAGGACATTGTAATGGTAGTGGTCATGAGCGAGGCTAACATGTGTCGCATTGTCAACAGTTCTCTCTTCCACAAATGGGAGGGAATTCCCTTCCGGCTTTCCATTACGTGCAGTCCAGGGGGCACTCACGAAAGGCACCATCGCCAAGGCGACAAGGGACCACACGAAGAAAACTGAAAAAAGGGGAAGGAAATGGAAAAATGGAAATGGTAAGGAAAAAAAATGAAGCAGGACAAAAAAAAGGAACCGCATCCATCACGTCGCGTGTGTCTCTTACCCATCCCAGCGTAAAGACAGAAAAACTTATTCGTTGGTGCCGCGTCGCACTCGATGAAGGCATCCCTGTGGGGCAACCATTGCAATTGTTACATATATAAAAAAAAAAATGCCTAACGCAACGGAAAGAAGCATAGCGTAACAAAACAATGGCGCAATGGCGCAGTGCCGCACACACTGACTCACTCCGCCAAGGAAGCCGAAACAAACAAACGCACCATCGCCCCAACCACCGGATAACACCCCCCGTGATAAAACATACTTATCACGACAAAAGCGACCCAGGAACATACACAAAAAAGAAAAACCAATATATTATCTCCTCCGTTTATACAAACAAACAAGAGGTACAAAACAAACTGCGGAATGTCCTCTAGACATTTATTCACAATAAAATAAGTTTTTTCCATCCTGGTGTAGAAATACAAAATGGGCATTTCTTCCCCTCGAAAACAAAGTACCTTCTTAAATACACCCAACACACTAAACAAGTCCTGATGCTCCTCCGGAATCACATTTAAAATGAAATACTTCCGAAGGTGAAAAGTACAATGGGAAGTGATATGAAAACAGAGCAGCCAAATAAATGCCACTGTGTGAACTGACCTACGGCGCACATTTTCCCATTCCTTCTCTCTACTAAGTCGATACGCCATCTTTAGTAAAAATACCCCATCGTTAATTAATTTGAAACACCTGTTCACGCTGAACAGGATCACCTTCGTTTGTTCCTTCCTCAGTTCCTTCTTGTTGTGGACCTCTTCGTACGAATAATGTGTTACGGTCTTTTTATTATCCTCCCCCAGGGTGGTACCCCCCTTCGTGCAGTTGTTCCCCTCGTCGACCGCCATCAAGTCAAAGTAGCTACCCCCTAATTCTCCACTTAACCAATCAGCACAAACACCTTCCAAAGGGCATAATTCCATCATGTTATCGCCCTCGTCTTGTCTCTCCCCCAAAGATTCATATCTGTAGTGTTCCTCTCCTCCCTCGTGGTTGCCCTTCACTGGGGAGCACCCTCGTCCCCCACAACGATCTTGCAACATGTGCAGTGTTTGCGGCGCTCCCGTGGGCTGGCGTGATCTTCTGAAGCACTCGTCAGTTAACCGAATTAGGTGTCTCAGCAGTGAA